TTTCACAAAGCGAGCATTTACCGAAAAAACGACCGGACTTCATGCAAAAAACCGGTAATCATACACTTGGTTGTCCGTGCGGCTCTATAATCCATCACCTTCATCCCAACTGACGCCCTTCCTCCTGCATGCCGGAAGAAACCAAAGCAGCTAAAACACCAACTGCAGCCCCAGTCCTCGCCCAATCACCTCTGCCGCGTATTTCGCCACACCCTCCCTTCCAGACGTCATGACCTATTGCATTCTCCCAAGTCCAGCCCAGTTGAATTTTAGTAATTCCTTTGGCACGTATTCGCTGAGACAAGACCAGCGAATTCAAGCTGAGCGTCCCCGAAATGTCATTTGGCTGAGGGGGTTACCCTCGCGCACAGCACATAGCACTTTCTTAATTTCCCCGGACACCCATGCAGCGAACGTACAACGTACTAAAACGAACTACGGATACACGTGCATTGAACACCACTTCCCCAGACCACAGTGAAATCTTCACCCATACCCTTCACCCCAGGACTGATCAGCAAACCACCCGATGAAGTCACAGTTACATTATTTCGCATAATCATCTTGAGAGACTGGCGACCGATGACAGCCGCCGCATTGGCTAGAAAGTTACAGGCAAGAATATCTCAAATATTTTGCAAAATATTTTCTTGCAATAACAACCAACCACCTGCACTAGAAAACAAGAAAGTCAACCCCCAAAACGAGCATTTTAGATAAAAATTTACACATTCACCATCGCTCTCGGCAAAAATTAGGTCTCTATGCAATTCGTTATCTCTAGACATCACTGCCTTTTCCAACCCGTCTATTGCTATGGCAATTACCATAACTCGGCACGGCTCGTCTCACGCACAAGCCCCAAAAAAAATTTTTTTCCAATGGCAGGTAGGGCTGCCCCACGGCGGATGACGGCACTTTGGATGTGGCAGGTAGAAACAGAGGTGGTATGTGGCGGGTTCCGTCCGAGGCGTGGGAGGAGGGCTAGGATAAGTGGATATAAGGACTAAATAACGTAGATCTTTTGCAGATTGACTAAGTAACGTACATTTGAGGGGAGAGGGGAGCGGTGAAGAACGGAGGGGGTAAGGAAGTATGCTCCTGGGACTTCCTTTTTTATGAAGCTGATGCTTAGGAAAAGCTGCTCCACAAAAACCCGTCATTAGGCTTCTTTGTTTATGAAAATGATGCTTAGGTAAAGTTGTTCCACAAAAACCTGCCATCAGAATTCCCTATTTATGAAACTGATGCTTAGGTAAAGCTGAGAGTGAATAAGTTTCATGAAGTGGGCAAAAACAGGGTAGAATGAATGCTTGGGGATGAATGTCTCATCCCCCCGTTTCGAGAACTTCCCTCACACACGTCTAGACCCCGCGTACGCCTCCCCCACCCCAAAATATGCAAATTTCGTTAGCGGAAAACGATTTCGATGTCGATTTTGCGAACCAGACAAGCCACAAGCTGAATCTTTGCAGGAATATTCTTTATGCATGTGCGAGCTAAAGATTTTAAACTCAGCTGTCGCGCACGCGTTTGCAATGCGTATGACCACGCCAAAGTTTTCGGGTTGGTACTATGCTAACTCGAAAACTTGCCGAAAAACAGTGGCTGAAATTTTGTCAGTATGTCTGTCTCCCACATAGGAAAGAGTATCAAATCAAATCAAGCCAACTCTATGATAATTTGAATTTGCGATGACCAGTAACGGAGATAATGCGCATGTGATCTACTAATGTGATCTAACAATGATGTTTAAGAGAAAAATGAAACAAAAGATACTCAATAAAACCAACGCGAGCACAAATCGTATTAACGCAGCACTAAAAATCCGCAATAAATTGAGCATAAACGCATGATCGCACCGGCTCGCCTGATGCGTTCCAGCCTGGGTTTGAAAATGACCTGGCAGTTTAGTAAGCAATTTGCTCGCCAAACCTTTCAAGTGTCCGTATGTGAGAAACACGCATACCTGAAGACTGATTTTAAAATATTTAGATTATACTTGGGCAGGGAACATTCCGCTAAAATTCAGCTTTCTAGCTTTTCTGGTTTCAGAGTTAGTGATTCTACCGCCAAATCCTTTACCCTCTCGTACGTGAGAACCACGGGGGTGAATTCGAAATCTTTAGCTCATATATGCACAGAAAATATCCATGCAAAGTTTCAGCCCACTGTCTTATCTGGTTACCAAAATCGCTTTTCGGCAGAAAAATCCGCATATTTTTTAAGGCTTTTGTGCGTGGACCCAGACATACGTGGATGACGATATTAAAACGGGTGGATCGCAAATGGTGTGGACGCATATTCCCGAAGCTTCGGCCTTCAGGCTTTTTTGGTTCTCGAGTAGAAAGTGTGTGACAAAAGTGCGAACACACAGATGGACTCAAAAACTCACACAGCTTCTTGCCAATGCACATTTTTACATACATGCAAAAACGCATAAATACTGCTGAAATGCTTCTGATGCTAGCTTCAAAGTGGACAAGATCCGTTTTCCGAAGTTTTTTTGTGATGATCACATAAGGATTAGTGCTTGTAACTTAAGGGAAAGGGAAAGAGGCAACAGAAACTTCAAAAATAGTAACTATCAGTAGGCGCGGCTGTCAAAGTCAAAAGTTAAAATTTTCTGTCCATATTTCACTTTCACTGAGAGACAGAGGCACTCGGAAACTAGCCAGAGTGGTAATAAATATCAACAGCAATCATTCGCCGCTGTCAGTGGCCTTCCGAGAGTAGTTTACAAGTGAGCTGACGGCAAGTTTGACTCCCTGGTGTGTACCAATACCGATTTAGCATCGAAATGAATTGTAGCGAGGTTAATGATTATAAATTGCGAAGAAATTTGGAAATTGAATTTTGTTCATTCCGAAGCTACAATCGGACTGAATTTGACCCAAATGTGTTGATCAGGCCATTAGGAGGTGTGGTGCCTTACTCTAATAATATCGTACTCTAGGACTAAAAGTTTGCAGATTGTTTACCAAATTTTTCGAGTCTAATTGAAGTGATCGACGGAATCCAGGTGGTCGCTGAAGCTTTGGCTGCTTTTCAGACGCACACTGTTGAAGCTTGCTTATATACGTGCACCAAGAATATGGTGTGTCCATCTACCGTACTTTATTGATTTGTTGATAAATAATCCAACAATAACACTGTGAATTACAGCTAGTTGATGGGAGCGCCTTACCCAGTGCATGCCGTTCTGCGCACTACGAACGTACCCGTAAACGTTGCTTTTTGTACGGCACATCAATTACGCCAGCTGGAATCGCCCAGTACATACCCAACGAAGATGGCATTTACTTCGAAAAGCTTTGCGTATCCAGTGAGCATTTTTATTAAAAGATGAAAAGTTTTTATCAAATAATTCAAAAATTATGCCAAGTAACTCATCTGAATCTCAGGAACACAGAGGTAGAGATATTAATCGTGATATATATTTAAAAAATACAAAATTGTTTTAAAAAACTGAATGAACAAAAATATTTCGTCTAATTAGGTCGTAAACATTCCTTTTCAGCAGCACAACTTGTAAATTTTCCAGTTTATCTTGCACTAGTTTGTGTGGCACTGCTCGCTGCAGAAGGAAGCCTCATGCGAAGCGAAGTCTTTTGCGATAAAAATTTCAGGCGAAATTCAAATGAAATGCAACGAAATGATGCGCCGAGTGCCGCAATATGTGCTTGTCGGGCATGCAACTGCTGTCGTGGATGCGCCCTCACATAGCCAGTGCGTCGAAGCGTGTCTGCGTTCGATGGTAAGTTATGCTTTAGATAAAAAGGTTGGTCTGAGTACCACAGCAAACTACTAGTTGTTCTGCCGCTTATTACTTCAAAAAATATAAGGACGATAAGTTAAACTGTCTTGAGACGTCAAAACCGCGAAACAATGGGAAAAAAATTTGGATTACAGGGCTTTAGGCAAAGCTGCGCAGAATTTGATTTTTTTAGTACTGTATTTCCATGCGCTCAGGATCAATCAGTTATCTTACGAAAGATGTAATCCAGAAATTGGATTTTTGGAAGGGGTAGCACCATAATCGAATTCGACCTCGTTTTAGCAAGTGCTATTAGTCAGCAGTCGCTAAATTTGTCGGCCTTTTCGAACAAGACGCTCGACCGATAACATTCTTTCCCATATGCTTAATATTCAATGATCTATTCTTCTGCAAATCAATAATTTGCGGAACCAAAAAAAAATCAGAAGAAAATTCATGCAATTTTTTTGCTTTTTTGCTGTGCAGCGCTGTGGTGCTGCTACAGTGAGCAAAAACGCATATTGTCGAGAGGTCGTCCGTGTGTGTGTATGCGTGTTTTCGGAAGCGAGTGGACTTTTTCACTTACTTTCAACTCAGTAGCCGGAAAAGCTGGGAGGCCGAAATTTAGGGATCATGTTCCCACCTCATGGGTGCCTTCTCGTTTCAAAGTTTTCGCTCGAACGTGCCTAAATCTCGTACACAAACACTCGAAAAAATATGCATTTTGGCGGAAAGCGATTTCGTGAACAAGACAAAATAGGTGGCTGATGCTTTGCAGGAATATTCTCTGTGTATGTATAAGCTAAAGATTTCAAATTCAGCTATTGCACACGCTTGTACCGCGCGTACAGTCATGTCAGAGTTCGCAATTGGCAATGAGCCAACTCAAACCTATCCGGAAAACAGTAGCTGAAATTTTGCCAGAATATTTGTTGTTGTTGTTGATACGGACAGTAGTATATCTAAATTCAATTTCGATTTGCATTTACGCTACGACATAAAGCACCTTAAAGATAGTTAGAGCGAAGTAGCTATTTCTCTTACCAGACAAGCTGCGAAGCTAAAACTTTGCGGGGATATTCTATATTTATGTGCGGTCTTAATTCAGTTTGGAGGTTAAATTCGCTGTACATGGGCATGAAAAATACTCATTATTATCGCAAGTTTAAAATCGAGTACATTTTACAGACTTCATGATCCTCTTCCGACTGCTTTCAAATTTGCATTTTTATGCGTTCCTGTCTATATGCAAATTGCAACAATGCATATTGCAACGACTCTGTCTCTGTGTGTATGTTTGTGTGTGTGTGTGTTTGTGTTTGTTTGTCTGTTCGGGTATTTCCACTCGGCAGTCATGCAATTTCCAGCACAAAGGTTTCGCTAGTGGATTCCTTGGCCAAGTGCCACCCCAGAACCGCGGTACCAACCCTCATGCAAGTTTGGGCCTCGCAAACGAGAGGGCGAAAGTTTTGGCAGGAAAATTGATAACTCGGGAACGAGAAAAGATAGAAAGCTAAAATTTTGAGGTTCTGTTGCTCATCCAAATATGACTCAAAGATTTCAAATTCGGTCCCCAGGTATGCGTGGTTCCCATGTACAGTCCCGTAAGGGTTCCTGGCTCGAAAATCGCTAGTTTGGAAATCAAGAAAGCTGGCTGAAATTTTCAAGAAATGTTCCTAATCCATGTACAACTTAAAATTATCAAATTGCGCGATTCTCAAGTGCGGCCCCGCGATACTTTTTTTGGCGCGGAAATGGCTAACTTGGGAAACAGTGAAGCTGGGAGGCTGAAGTTTTCAAGGAATGTTCCTAGCACAAGTACAACGTAAACCTATCAAATTCAGCTCCCACTTTTTTCTCAAGTACGGTCCTGTGAAATTTTTTGACGGGAAAATGGCTAACTTGAAAACTAGCAAAGCTAGGGGGCTGAAATTTTCAGCGAATGTTTCCAGCCTATGTACGACTTAAAATTGTCAAATTCAGCTCCCCAGGCGTGCGTGGTTCTCACGTGCAGCCTCGTGAAACTTTTTTGGCAGGAAATTGACTAACTCGGGAACCAAAAGTTTTCCAGCCTAAATACAACTTAAAAATTCCAAACCCAGCCCCTAGGTATGGTCCCAGGTCACGTGCGACCCTGTGAATGTTTTGGTGGGAAAATTGCCGACTCGAAAGCCAGAAAAGCTGAAAAGCTGAGATTTTAGGAGAATATTCCCTGTCTAAATGCAAGTTAAAGGTTTAAAATTCAGCCTCCGTGTATGAGTGGTTCTCGTGTAAAGGCGCTTAAATTTTTGGCGGAAAATTACTCATTGAACAGCTGGGTCATTTCCAAAACAAAGGCTGGAACGCACCAGGCGAGCCGGTGCGATCTTGCGTTTTTGCATCAAAACTAAAGTAAAAGTATTGCCCGAGCGTTCGTTTCCAAAAAAACCGCGTT